TATGATGTCACTTATACGTGGATTCTAAGGAATTGAATGGATGGGAGATGTGGATGGAGATAGTCTCAGAGACACAGAGGAAAAACTGAGGGTTGTTAGTTGGGAGGGGGTGGGGATGAAGGAGAAGGGGAAGGGATGAGACAATACAAATTGGTAATCACAATATGGCCTCACGGAAGGAGAAAGACAGTCTGGGGAAAATAATCAATAATGTTGTAAATATTTCTTAGCGGGCCAGATGGACTCATGTCTTGTGGGGGAGACCACTTCACAGTCGGTGTAGAGGTCTGACCACCACACTGAATTTCGGAAGCTGATGTTGAATAATATTGTATGTCAACTATAATGATATATACATATTGTCACGGGACGTGGAGTAGAGAGTGGGAATGGAGTCAATGGAATTGTAATAGATAAGCATGATATCGGGAGGGGGAGGGCAATAGAGGGGAAGAGGGGGGTTGTTACTTTGTGAGGGATGAAAAGGATAACTATTGCATTGTACTGTACACCTGAAACTAACATTAAAAAAAAATAGAATGAACCCTGACTTCCCACTTGAACTTCAGTTCTAGATTTTCAAGTCTGTAGACTTTCCATTTGAGTATATGTACCAACAGCTCAGAGTCAGCATGTTTAAAACTTTATTCTCTCCTAATATTTGTACTCTCAATAACTTCATTTTTGTTAAAGATTTTAGTATTTTTTTAATATTCCAAACTAGCAAACTTGGAGTCAATAGTCACTCCTGACTTACCTTCATATTCCATATATACAGGCATCAAATTGTGACTTTTTTCTAACGTTTCTTAGGTTCCTCACTTCCCTCCATCACTCTTCCATACTCATATTCTCTAGGCTAGGCTCAAAAAATGTTCCTTCTAAATAGTTGCCACACTCTTGCTAGTTTATAATCTCTTCCCATTTAATCAGTTTTGCATATGAATCTTCCTATTTTAGAACCTTCAGTGACTCACTAATTCTTCTATGTCATCTCATAGAACCATGAGCTGAAGAAAATCTTTAGAAAATAATACAATGTTAATCCTCTTTCCTCTCAGTTTTATAGAAGTGCAGAATGAATCCTAGAGCTATCACATGACATCGTTTGATGTGACTTTGATAATTGTTGACAAACTGGAATAGATTTCAAGGTGTATGGGGCATGTCTCGGAATTCCTTTTTATCTCCCGTTGTACTAGACATTAAACTATTCATTTGGCAGATACACTGTAAGTTTTTGTTGTAAATTAAGCCATCTTTGACTGTTAGTAAGTCTGTTGCAAATGATGGAAATCCAATTCATAAGCAAGAAAGTTAATTTCTTGGCTG